GGCAGAACCGGGGATTGAACTCTGGCCCTTGCGCTTGCCAGGCAAGCACTTACTCTACTGAGCCTTTTCCCTGGCTCCATCCATGAAATACTTTCTTGACTGTGTGACCCATAGATCTGTGTCGGAGGGAGTTGAGTCTAATAAGTAACTGTCTGAAGCCTGTTGAATAGATAGATGTATGTATCAGTGGGTTTTACCCATTACGCATCTCTGAAAACCACCTTGATTGGTGGCAGAGTTGCATCGGAAAGCGTGGAGTGATAGGCCGCCCTGATAAGTAGCTGAATGTAATGACGAATTTGAATGCGAAGGTGCTGTGTCTGTTGTAAGAGTGAGACAACATTGGAGAGTTACTGCCTCACAGTTCAGCGGTGGTAGCTGCGTCCACACCTAGGCTCTACCCAGTTTTCTTTGCCCCCTCCGTTGGGGATGGAGCCAGGCCCTTGTACGTGCCGAGCAAGTGCTGCAGTGCTGGGCTGTCCCCCTTGTGTGCACGGTAGGTGAGGACTTGGCCCCGCTTCCCTCAGGACCAGGCTGAGGAGGGGGCGGCAGTGCTCCTCCTTGTGCTTAGCTGAGCTTAGCTGAGCGTGCGGCTCTAAATGAACGCGGTTTCACTTGATGCATCAAATTTTCATAGTTCAGGCTTCTTTGGGAGAAATGACAAAAGACGAAATTTTTATCACAAATGAAGGTATAAGAAAGAAATGTTATGATATCAAGAGGTGTGGCATTTTACTTAATCCTCAGAGAGTCTTGAGGCAAGAGAATCCTAAATTAGGGCTACTCTAGGCAAATTGGCAAGACTCTGTTCAGTAAAACGAACACAAACAACATAAAAACTCTTGATCGTGTTGAAGATACCTGTCCTGTGATCAGAATTTCAAGTTCTTTGCAGTGGCCACTGCTTTTCTCTTTGTTCTGTTTCTTTATTTTGTCAGCCGGTATCGGGATGTCCAGGCACCAATTTAACCGGCTCATTCACGCCTTCATCTCCACTTCCTTCCTTACTCAATTAATATCACATGAAGATCAAATTTTAATTTTGGGCCACTTTGCTTTATTAAGAGAACAGTACTTTCCTCCATGCTACAATTAAAATGAATTCTTTTTATACCAGCAGAAGATAGGATGAAGATTAAAATTTAAGATTGATGAGACAAGTGTGGTGGTGCACACCTGTTAATCCCAGCATTCGGTGGCTGAGGCAGTAGGTTCACTATGAGTTTAAGATTGTCTTGGGCTACATAGTGAGAGCCTGTCTAAAAAAAAAAGTTCCAAGTTTTTGTAATTTAAGCCTTTTTATTCCCTCTTGCAGGTTCATCTTCCATCCTGTACAGTATTTTCTAACTTCCCAGTTGTGAAAAAGAAGAATATTTCTCATGTCCATTCCATGGATTTTTCTCCCAGAGGTGGCTACTTTGCTTTGGGTAATGAGAAGGGCAAGGCCCTGATGTATAGGTGGGTACTCCTTACATTTGAACCTAAGAGCTACCTAATGCACTTTTTGGGAAATGCGAAGAGCTCCTGTGTAGTCCCAACTCTGCAGTTGTATGTGCCACTTACTGATTCTGTAATTGTAGGATGTTCAGCCCGACTCACCCTCATTAATTTTGTGCATCTTTTCTACCATAAAATGTCACTAGCAGAGAAGTTCACCTGAGGAATAAAAATGTGTGGCGATAGATTATATGGGTATTATTTTTCCCCAGCAAACTGCAGTGGGAGAATGCCTGATTGAGAAGTAGCCACTTTAACAATAATGCCATTTTCTTGATGTCTTATGTTTAGATTAACCTTTGGTGATTTGACAGTTTGCTGTTTATTGTAGTAAACAATAATTTTATTGTTCACTAATAAATATTGGTTCAGTAATTTTATTTTTTATTTTTATTTTTTTGCGGAACTGGGGATTGAGCTCAGGCCCTTGTGCTTGCCAGGGAAGCGCTTATTCCACTGAGCCATCTCCCTGGCCCCAGGTTCAGTAATTTTAAAAAATGAGATGTGTCTTTCTCTGCAGCTGTGAGCTATAAGTAAGGATGCTCACCACAGAGATACCCAAAAGTTACATGCTGTCTTTGTTTCTTTTCTGCACCCAGCATAGTTGGCTGGGAACAGGAACAAACTATACCTAGTTGCATCATTGCTGGGAGATAGAGGTGACAAGGATAACCTTCAGGGAGAACTGAGGAACCTTGAGTGGAAACCTGTGCCCTATGTCCCCACACCCTTTCCTTGCTCTGTGGGCAGTGGACACTACATAGACCCCGTGCTTAGGTTTGTATATTTTAGGTGAATCTTACAGGGAGAAATATAAATTATGAGTTGGTTCTGAGAGAATGGTGAGAAACAAATATAGCAAATACTATGCATAAAATTTTATTTACTTTGAAAAGAAGATGCTTTCTAGCAAGATAATTCCATAGGTCTAATTTCAGATCAGGTTTATAGTGAGCTTTCTGTTTCATATAGCATCTATGAGACGGCGCAAGTTCCTGTTGCACTTAGAAATTGTCTTTTAAGCTTTGGTTTTTTAGCCCTGAAATTTCTCCAAGTAAGCCTTAGGAGCCATTAGATTTTTCACTGGAGCGTAGCTCTCTAGAATGAGACTGTTTGTAGATACATTAGTGAATTGGGTTAACAGCATGCCTGTGGGGTATGGCTGATCAGGTATTTCACAGCCTTCAGCTTGATGCTTTGGAGCAAGCTTAATGATTTTTATCTGCAGTCTGAGACGTAGGATCTTCCAGAGTGTCAGTCTAGGGAATCTGAACTGGACTGTGTTGACAGCGGTTGTGAGCACCCTTCCCCCACCCAGCCTTCTCCACGTCGGTTCATGATCGAATTATACTTTGGGTAATTACAAGGCTGTGCTTTGCTTTTTCAGGTTGCACCATTACTCAGACTTCTGAAGAGATTATTTGAAGTAAGGAAATTTTTAAAAAATAATTTCTATAGGCTTTAAAGTCATACTTTGCTGTTCTTTGGTGGAAGCACCACGTAACCCACTTGGTTTCCCTGGAAGTAGATCAGGAACTCTAGCTGGGCTGGAGCCTTCCCTGTAGACTTCTGACCCCAGTCACAGCAGTCTGGCTTTCTCTTCTGGAGTCACACCTCTAAGGTTGCCTTCAGTGGTCATCATCCAAATTGTAATTGCTGAACATGTGTAATTCACAAGAGAATGGGGTTAACAGAGAGGTAGGTGTCCCTGGCTACAGCCAGAGCGTGTATGAATTTAAACCCTCTTGCTGTGTCTGTGCTTCCTGGGAGACGCAGAGGTGGCTTGCCTGCTTCGCAGAGCAGGTTAGTGGTTTGCTGCCCACGGTGTGCATGTGGGGCCTGACCCCTTCTCCGGCCCAGTCTTGGCCCTCACGCAGCGGTGCGTCTCAGCTGGTCTGTGGCTCAGCGTTGACTGCTTGCTCTTCTCTGAGATTGCTGAGTGTTCAGGAGTGCAGATTGATTTAGTTAGGGGAAATTTTTTTTCAGAATAGCATGTAGGAAAACTGCAGCTCTCAAAACTACAAAACCTGAATGTGTGTCTGATCACCAGTGGCTGTAAATAATCAGGTGCATAATTTCTTGTTTTTTCCTCAGATCCAGTTGAACGACAGAGGAAGCCTGTCCTCATATTTCTTCTCAGAAACTTGAATGTGATGATGTGTGGATAACGATTTGTGGAGCCAGCTGTGTTTAAGTTAACAGTGTTGTCAATAAAGTTGGAGGCTTTTGTTTGAAAATACATGTATGTGATTCTTTTCCCACTGCCCCCACATGCATCTGCACATATCCCAATCCGGTGCTTTTCTTTTTTTCTCTTTTTATGGTATTGAGGATTGAACCCAGGGCTGCTCTAACACTTAGCCACAATTTTAATTTTTTATTTTTGAGATAGTCTTGGTAAGTCGTTCAGGCTGATCTCAAACTTGAAATTCTTCCTCAGTCGCATTGAGTATCTGGGGTTATCATAGGTGTGCTACCCTTTTGAGTGCTTCAGACTAAAAACAAGACATTGGAAACATCTGCCTGTAGCCAAAACTAATGTGGGTGGATGTTGGCATGTTTCGCAGGTAGCCGGGTGCACTTTCCCCCTTTCCAGCGTAGATCGCTGTGTGCCTCCAGAGCGTGGAGGCCAGGGGAGAGCTGTGGGCGGCCTCACAGATGAGTTTGAAGTTTCTAGTGCATTACTACTCAGACCATTTTCATTGTTGAGGAGGCACATAAAACCCCGGCTTTCCTATTAACCATTCGTTTCCTGGAAATGTTCATTATGCCAAGTGTAAATGTTCTATTTAATTTGAATTCTGAACTAGATGGTTTTTTTTTTTTTTTTTT